TTTTTAAATTTTTTTTTTTTTTTTTTTTAGTAAATTGACTGTCAATGTTGTGTCTGCTGATCAGGTGTGTTCTGGGAAACACCACCATCCTGGCCGAGTTCATGAGCGAGGAGGACGTCGCCCGTTACATCACACATTCTCAGGCCGCAGGGGTCACGGTGTCACCCGAGGGCTCGCCCGGCTCTGACCTCGTCCCGCGAGAGGGCGAGCGGCCCGTGAGCTCCGGGGCAGATGGAGACATGGCGGTGGGCTGGCAGGGGCTGGACGTGACGGCCGGCTCCACGGTGGAAGCGCCGGGACTCGCCCTCCTCAGCCAATGGAGCAACAGCGCAGGGGAGGGGGTGGGGAAAGGCGTCTGGGGGGGCGTGGCTCTCGGTTACCACGGCGGCAGCCTATGGGGCTCTCCTCAGTTAGAGGACGGCACAGCCGGGTTGTTGCCAGGCAACCTGCTTGGAGGCGGGACAGATAGTTTGTGATTGACAGCAGTCAGTTCTTAAGAGATGCTGGTACGTGAAGTTTAAAGTGTGTCAAACTGCAAAAATAATGATTGTTTCCAAACATTTGGAAGCCCATGCATTGTTATAGTTTTTCAGTCTAGCTTTCGAGAACATTTCATTTTTTAACCCCAAATATGTATATATATTAGGCATAAAAGTCTTTTAGGGCCATTAAAAAAAATTGGGCATTATTTTTAAGGACAGTTAATCACGTTCTCAGCTAGTTCTCATTACTGTATGTCATCTCATTTTATATAATAAGGAACAAAACTATTTTATTCTCATATATATATATATATATATATATATATATGCTAGGTTTTAATATTTAATTTATTTCAATATAATTTAAAGGCATTACAACAAATATAATGAAAAATAATTGAATTGGCATGAAAACATCTCAATGCAAAGTCAATTACATAATTATATGTTAGCTTGAACATATTCTCGAGGTATATTTTTATCTATTGAGTAAAAAATAAGTTACCAAAAGAAAAAGCGTAATGCATGGCCTCTGTATGTTTTCATTGTTTTTGCAGTTGTTTCTGGTGACACACAGCAGCTTTAAGACAGACACACACACACTTTGAACAAACACTCACATGCAAAGAGCTGCATTTCCACACAAACACCGGATGTGTTGACAGGCTTTTGTATCTACCCAGTGAGATATTAAACACACACAGGTGCGGTGTGAGCGTCGTAGGGATTTGCTTACAGACATTCTCATCATTGCCAGAGTTAAGCTATCATGTATTTGAATGCAGGGACTGTTCCTTAAGGCCTTCTTATACACACACACACACACACACACACACACACTGCTCAACCTGACTGATTTCAATTTGATGTTACGCTGGCACACGCAGACACTGTTTGATGCTTCAACAGCAGATTTATTGATTTTATTAGAGCGCAAGAGCATTTGAAGCTGGTAGATGCGTTAATCTCGCCAAAAAACCAACAAAAAAAACACATCTAAGTTACATTTCACTCCAGAATTAAAATCATGATTGATGACTGAGCACATTTACTCACATTCTCATTATTGTAATGTGGAAAGTTTTCAATTTCTCATTACCGTAACAGTAATATTTACTATATTACTGCAATACAATTAGCTTTTAATTTAAATAAAGTAGTATCATGATCGATAAAAACTTTACATTTTAAATAATGTCATTTTTTTCTGCATGAAAGTAATGAGAATTTGGAGAGAAAAATGTTTAAAGTTTGGAAGGCCCCAAAAATGAGCTATTTTCATTGCTACTTTGGGATTCCAGAGTGAAATTGCTTCCCTGTGTTTTGGGAGGTTCACGCAGATGGTGTTTTTTGGCTTTTCTGTCGCTCCGTTCCTTATCCAGCGCGGCGTTCCTGTGGATTTGTGTATCTTAAACACATCTGATCTCTCATTCAGACCTTCCACTGTTCCCTTCTTGATCTGTTCGTCAGGTTTGCTGTTACATTTATATGATTCGTATGTTGATTTTTTGCTAAGGCGTATACAAGTTATCTTCAAAGACTTTCAAGTGATCTGACGGACGGACGTCTGTAACGTGTGTATGTGTGCACTTGACTGTTTTGGCCTGTGTTTGTGAGTTTGTGTGCGGCTGTACATTGTTAATTGTGCACTATACACTGCTGGTTGTGTTTTACAAATGTTGGCATTAGCGGGTTTCTGCGATTGGCGTTTCTCTTGTGTTTTTTAAGCGTACTCATGTAGCCTTTTGTATCGGCTGAATTGCAATAATGATTCTACAAGCATTTTTAAGACACAAACGTGTGACGGCGTTTCTGCCAAACTTATCTGCCTGTCCAGAGTTTACAAACAGCTGAAAGACGTATGTTTTTATGTGTCTGTACTGTTGTTTTTGTTTTAAATTAAGACTTTAACACTCCTTTCAGTGTTTTGTTTTTTTGAGATTTTACAGAGAAAAAAGAAGTGAAGAGTTTATTTAAATAAAAGTGACATGCAGCTGTTATAAACACTGAAGTATCAGATCTTTTGTTGTTGTTTTTGTTTTTGTGGTTTCCGGACTCTTTTTGTCATACATGTTACTAACCATAAACAGATTTTGTCTCTTAGCTGTAAACTTGTCAGTGTGTTTTCTGGTCTTCTTTCAATAATTGAGAGTTTGACTCGCTTATGTATAATAGATAATTATATAGATTAGTGGTCGCACTCATACATTTGATTTGAAATGTCTTGTTACCTTTTGATTATGTGGATGTTTTGATTTGTAATTCCAGATAGTCTTTGATTTTTCATTCTATTTCCAGTAATGTTTATCATTAACAATCTCTTAAATGAGTGCATTAGATGCTACTGAATGCACATTGAAATAGATTTGTATTTTTCCATATACAGTACAAGTCTGTATTATTATTATTATTATTATTATGGAATATTCTCTCAGCTCAGCTGCCAACCTTTCAGTATGAGAGGGAAGTTAACAGGTTTTCATTCAGGCATGTAAATTTAATCAAAGTCTTCTTTTTAACTATGTGAATGTTTTGCTTTCTATATATGTTAATCTATATATTTAGTAACACTTATAGTAAAGATCATTTCATCAAACAATTTACATTAGATACTAGTTGTACTAGTTAATAGTAGGCTACATTAGTTATAAATGTCAAGTTTGGTGTATATCTTTATACAGTATAAGTCAGAGTTAGGGCACAATTATTCAGGTGGTTAACGTTTTGTATAATGGAAAATTGCTAAACAAGCCTGGAACTTATGCAATAATCAAAGCATGCGACAAAAAATGAAAACTACGCTTTTATTTGATCTCTCCCTCCGTCTCTCTCGCTTGCACAATGTTTGAAAGCAGCTTAATGTCAAATTGAGTAGTTTAGAGCTGGCCGATAATCGTTAACATTTGGAGATGATAAAACATGAACCAGATAAAATGTGCTGTTACATTGAGGCATTATAAAAATAGTTTCGGTTTCAGTTTGTTTTGTAATGCTTCTAAGCACCATGAGGAGGATAGAGCTAAAAAAAAAATAATGCTTTTACTTCACTGTCTTGTAAAACTTCAAAATGCAAGTTCCGTTTTCTATATATTGAAGACATACAGTGGCATGTTTGTCTTAAATCGTTCAGCCAAAGATGTGTCCAAACTGCTACCGTGTTCATATCGCAGTAACAGCTACTCCATTCAACATTATCTATTGTGTGCTAATTAATTATTAATACATGTTATTATGAAGCGTCGCCTGGCGGACTCGCCCCGCGCTCCTGCGCGAGAGCCGCGGGCGTTGTGACGTTACCGGGAGTGAACGCTCGCTCACGGACGGGACGCATCGCGGAGCAAAACATGCGGCGGGATTTCACGTTCTGAGAGCTGCAGATGAGCGGGATCCACTGAGTAACGTGAGTACTGGGTTTTGGTCGGTGAATGGGTTCAGGAGATCTGTTTGAAATCGAGATCAGCATCTGCATCAGCATCAGCGCATCCGCTCGCGACGCGACGCGACACTGCAGCGTTCACATTATCATCCGCCGTATCGTATCGATAAATACGAAGTCAACGTGTTTGATTTATAATTTCGCCGGTTTATGATTTCTTCGATTGTGTGTCAGCGATCAGAACTGGAAATCTTTATAAAACCACATGCATCAATGACAATGAAATAACGCTTGATTAGTTTGTGACTCAGATAGAAGGAAGCCCGATCATTGTATCTTCATAAATGTTGATATCTCCAGACGTGATGATTCTCATCCTCAGATTTAAAAAAAAAAAAAAAAAAAAAAAAAAAGATGCAAAGATGGAGTTTTTCGCGTTTTTAAACATGGTTCCCTGGCAATGCCACGGGTTTTTTTTTTTTTTTGGACTTATTCTATAATAATGCCACGGTATATTTTTAGTAGCCTACTTTGCGGTGGTATATTGTGTACCTTGTAAATATCATAGTATAAAGGCACTGCGTACAGTATTAGTGTATCAACGAACCACCACACTGCATTTTTGTAAGTGTATGATGATACTTCAATTGTTTTGATGACATTAACCCTCAGTGTGTTAATTTAAAGTGATAGATAACTTAAAATAGTGTCATTTACGACAGGCCTAGAGCCACTAGTATGCGAGATGTTTGAGATGTTCATCTTATGGAGCACAAACATGAGCTCAGATGCTATCAGTGTTTCGGTCAATCGTGTTGTGATGCTGCCCTCTCCAGAGGACAGGGTTGACATGGCAACACTGAGACCATCCACTTCCAGTAAGAGAGTCGTGAATCACACACTAATGCATCATCACTGCAGGAGGAAGATCTCGGCTTATTCTTGTATGTATCAATAAATACTATGGTACCACGTGTAAAATCCACAGATTTTACAAACTTGTTCTATTTTTGCATCATAAGGCTGTAGGTAAGTGTTTAAAAACACTTTGTATGATTCATGTTTCACTAGTGAAACCTCTATGGACCTTCACCTTTTTCACATTGCCGGGTTTCTCAGCAGCGGAAGTCGTCATAGTTGGGTAAACTTGAAGAGCAGTGAATGGGAGAGTACCACAAATATATATATTTTTTGCATTCCCATTTGCTCAAATAGCAAAAGAAAAAACTCCACGATAGTTTTCATGACTTTCAATAAAATTAAAAATATTGAGAGAGACTGATAAAGGAAGTCAGAAGAGAGAACGATGTCAAATTTACCGTCCCTCCCATAGACGCTGCATTAGAAACACCCTCGCATTAGTGTTAACTAGTTGATTTGTAATTTGATGCAAAGGTGATATAATACAAAGAATAGTGTTATAAATGTACATACATTTAAAAAAACAAACAAAAAAAACAAATATGAAGAACTTTCGAGGATTTACGATGCTGATGACCGTTAAGCGCGTCATCACAGTCTTGTGAAAAGGGTCCATTTAGACGATTTGTTAATGACTAGTATTAGCTCCTCCCCCTGGTGTGTTTGCCGTGGTCTGATTGGCTCTCGTCCGCAGATGGCTCTGCTGTGGAGGAGGGGCGTGTCACTATCGGAGCGTTCAGGGAATGACTCTCTGGTTGGCATGGCGCCGGGGCCCGGGGTCGTTACGGTGGCCCCTGTGGGTCACAACAGGTCGTGGGAGACGCCGGTGGTCACCCCAGAGATGCCCATCTTCCTCATGACCCCCGCCGCTCAGACCGTCTCTGGGATCTTCACCTGGACGGCTCTGCTGCTCACCTGCCAACAGGTGCCACACATGCATTCATATTCAGAAACGTATTCCTTACACCTGAGAAACAACTTCTAGACTCCACTATAAAGTTTAATTACACTGTGAAATAGATATTTATGTATAAAAGAGGTAACACTCTAGATGTGCTTTTAATCAAACTTGGCAGTAGTAAGGCTATTTATTTTTTTAATATCAGTTATACAAGACTAGAGAAAACATAGGAAAAGCGCTGTGGTGCTCTGTTTTGCTAGAAAAGTAGGGAGACTTCAACACCCATAATGCACTGGGCTCAATCCGGCTGTCTGTGAGGGGATACAAAAATACAGAAGTACAATCTGTAGTTTTCACAAAAGACGACTGCTGATTACTGTAGATGATAAATAAATGTGAACATCTCAGGGCAGGCAACACATTTATTTGTATATTTCTATATAATGCTGACTTTTTAACTGGGCTGGTTTGAAATCTGCAAGCTTATACCTTTTAAGCGGTTATTTATTATATTATGTATTTAATCATGTTTCATAAGGTAAAAGTATGTTTTCTTTTGTTTAAGTAAAACAAATATTTTATTATATTTTATAATATTTAAATGCATAATACTGTTAATATTGTAGTAAATACTAATATAATTTATGATTACTTATTTTTGCATGTATATATTAATATGAAATATATATTGTTTTTAATTATAATATTGAATTTCATAAGGTCCAAGCATGTATTAATATATTTTATAATGTATAAATGAAAATGTGTAAAATATAATATTAATATATTACAGTAAATACTAATACATATAATTTATTACATGTCTTTCTATATATATATATATATATATATATATATATATATATATGTACAGTATGTGTATTATATATGTGCATGTGTATATATACAACGCTTAATTTTTAAATGTAAACATGTAAATTGCAGGTAAAAGGCAGTTTTTACATTAACTTCTAAATCTATCATATATGTAAATCACAATATTTATTGTAAGGTTCACATTACATAATATATCTGTGGTATCATAGAGGTTCAGCTGACCTATAATGATGAGCAGTTGCTCTGGCAACAGGTGGCATGACATCAGAGAGCAGAGGTGGTTGCATAGCAACAGCATTCAGAACTGTGTGTGTGGTGTGAGATAGTTCAGATTATGTGAACTTGTAAAACACACACACACACACACACACGGAGAGTTGTGCTGACAGAAGAGGCACCTGCTCCACTGACACACAGACATGCTTTTTTTCACATGTTTGACAAACATACAGGAAGTTCTGTTTCTGCTCAGTTTACACGTTTAATTCATTGGCATGATTGTTTTATGTACAACACAGCATCAATATATGTTGCATGCATATTAATAAAGAATAATAAATGACAAAATGTGAGTAGGCATGATAATAAACATGAAAGTATTAATATCATATTGCCTGTGTCTGTATGTCTCAGATCTACATGCACTTGCGCTACTATAACACTCCTAACGAGCAGCGGCACATCGTTCGCATCCTCTTCATCGTGCCGATCTACGCCTTCGACTCGTGGCTCAGCCTGCTGTTCTTCACTAACGAGGAGTATTACGTTTACTTTGACACTGTCCGCGACTGCTATGAAGGTCAGACACGCACATCTGCACTGTTTACAGTTAGAAACTTGATTGCGACATTAGCACTTTTTTAAACCCCCCGATGACATTGTCCATCACGATGTTTCACTGCAGACATTGTCTGATGCCAATTTGGTAGACATCGCCCAACCCTAAAACAGTGTATGTTGTTCTGTGTCAGCTGCGTCACAGGGATACGCTGTTTTCGTTCAGATCAAATCACAACAACGTAGGAAACAGATCCGTGTGACGCAGCTGACACAGAACAACATACGCTGTTTACGTCCAGACGAATTGTTGAATAAAGTCGTTTTTTTTTCTTTTGCGCACAAAAATTATTCTCGTAGCTTCGTAAAATTACGGTTGAACCCCTGATGGCACATGGATTATTTTACTGATCTACTTGCTACGTTTCTGGACTTGGGAACATTTCAGTTGCGTTGCTGTCTATGCAGGGTCAGACAGCTCTCAGATTACATCAAAAATATCTTAATTTGTGTTCCGAAGATGAACAAAGGTCTTACGGATTTGAAACGACATGAGGGTGAGTAATTAATGACAGAATTTTCATTTTTAACCCTTTAAGCCTGCTTCTGTAAATCCACATTCCAATTGCAATTCAGCATCATATTTGCATAATAAAATACTGTTTTTCACACAACTCTGATGTCTGTATAGATTAGTTAATGTTATGTTTGTTTGTTTTTTCTCTATAGTGTCAGTGATGCCTATTCACCCCTATATTGTATATATTGTAAATCAGTGCGCTAATACCATGTTAACACACTTTCCATGTAGAAACAGTAACTGTCTGAACTAGGGGTGTGCGATATTGACAAAAAATTTAATTTTTTGGTATTTTTCGATAACGATAATTAAACAATATTATGCTAGTACCCTGGCTGGTTTAAGCCGGTCATAACTAAATATGACACTCAAACCACCAGTAGGTGGCGGCAAGTCGCTGTCTTAATGAGTGATTCATTAAATCAATCATTTGTACGATTCATTCAGAACTGCTGATTCATTTAGAAACGAACAAGTGACTGTTGTTATGATTGGCACATTGAATCATTGACTCAAATAACTTGTTAAAAAACAGATTCATTTATGAACGTAACTCAGCAGTGCTGCTACGAGGCGCACAGATGTTCTGATCCGACTTTGTTTGGAACTATTTTCTTTGGCAAACAGAAGAAAAACAATGTTTTGTCTACAATGTATCTCACTTAATATGAACGTGTGTTTATTCAGGTCCAGCTGTGTTTACGGCACTTGTTGTCTGTGGGGCAGAACTTACTCCATCGGCTTTCTGCGCTTCTGCAAACAGGTACCTCACACACACACACACACACACACACACAGACACACACACACACACATCTACCTTCAAGCATAAATAGGTTGATGTCTCATAAGGAGTAGTGGAAAAACACTTTTAACGCATATGCGAAGTGCTTAAAGGGGTCATATGGTGCTGCTAAAAAGAACATTATTTTGTGTATTTGGTGTAATGAAATGTGTTTATGCG